CTACTACTGACATTTCTTTATCATAATGGAAGGTAGGAGATGTAATCTTTTGATCTGAATTTACTCTCACTATTGCATAAGTTCAATAGTTGGATTGTGAGGGTATTTTTACTTTTTTTTGTTTTATCTGGGGTTAATCCATTTACAGCTGTGTTTAATCAAATTATTGCCTTTGCTCTTGTAGAGGTTCCGCAGGGAAGGCTTGAACTTCGGGTTGGAAATAAATCTCTGTTTGTTAAAATAGCAGGTAAGAAAATTAATTAATTGTCGATATATTGTGCTTTTTTTGTGTGTTTTTGTTGTTGTTTTTTTTTGATCGGATCAGCTAGTCATGATCATGGTTCTTCGAGATGAGTCTTTTTTCCTCTGCGTAAAGAGCAATCATGTGTTGTTTGACCGTCCTTTGGTATGGGTCTGTTACGTTAGCCATGTAATATCCCAGACCTCGATGATCGTGTTTCTCATTTTGTATATAGTAAATTTATTGGCTGAATTAGCGGTTTTGAACATTACCATTCAATTTTCAAGCTAAAAAGCTATTCTATCAAAGCGAAAATGAAACTGAAACTGAAACRCAGTTCTATATAGCATATATAGAATACAAACAACTGATATCGAAAGTGCTGAATTGACTCTTTCTTTCTTCATAGTAATGATCAAAGAATGKTTCGGAGAATTATTATTCTCAGAAAAAGCCCTGAAGATARTTTCTTGTGCGATGCATGGGATTCCTTTGGACGGAGGTTCAGGTAACCAGCCTGGATTCAAATGGTATCACTATTTGGCGACGTCTTTATTCCTTCTGTTCSTCTGGTTTKCCTTTTCCTTTGAGATGTACTGCACAAAGGTATACTGGATGAGCGACCATYACCTAAAAATTCCTYTAGAAACCCTATTACTGCACATACCTCTGACTATCTCCATGGCAACGTCTTTCACATTGATCGTGTGGTATTTCTACAGTACAAGCAATGAATTTAAGCATCCTCTTACGAGACTAGTGCCTCATTTTGATTTCATGCCTACTGGACAACAAATAAACGTTGGTCCAACCCGCAWTGATTGGAARTACTGTAACATTCTTTTTCTTGTGGGAATTCTCAGTGTGGTGTTTGTTTTTTTCTGCTCCTTTAAGCTGGGAGTGTTTTTCGACTTCACCGGCTTACATAAATTCACCGCAAACATTCACGGGTGGAAAAAGATTGTGTATTACACTACAATAGCATTTATATACACTGGTTTTATCGGGGTAGTTGTTGCATGCTGCATTTTCTATATGTGCTGTCGAGATATCGTGCGGCATATTGAATATACCGAGGAGTTGATCTTG